TGTTTCTTGTGAATATATATCTTTTGAATAAATATAAATATATTCACCTTGTGAATATATTTCTGTGAAAGGCACTTTATAAATAAAACTTTACTTCCTTACTTACCTACTTCTTCATTCAGATATTTCTGCTGGGATTTTGTGTTTTCCTGTTTGCTTTTAGAATGCTTCTCACTTTTACAGAATGTTTTATCTTGGTATCATTTGTCCACACGTTCCTGTGATATTTAGCAAAATCGATCACATTTTTCTTCGCAAAAAGAAGCGAGACGCCTCGTTCCTATCCTACTAATTGAAAACATCTCTGTTATTGTGCGTTCATCCTTCAAAATTTTGAGTTCTTCTCAGTAAGAAAATATCAGAGTGCTGTTTTGTATGTATTCTTTTGCAAGTCCGTTAATCGCAAATTTGTAATTATCCAAAAATTTCAAAGTTTGTAAAGTAACAAGCTTAAAAATAATGTTTGTGTTGCTAAGATTGACACTTCTATTCTAAGTTGAACAAATGAAATAATTAAAAATTTGACCATATATTTATTAATCAGCATTCATCTGTTAATCAGCTGCTGGAATAATAATAATAATAATGTGCTTCTTCATGAAGGCGAATGCGACAGGTGGAGGTGGTCATGTCCAGCTGGTCCAGAAGGCCATGAAGACACTGACCTTCAGGTCTCTCTGCTTCCCTGATATGATCAAGAGCCGCGGCGTGGACAGCAAGGACGACCTGCCCACCTACTTCTACAGGGACGACGGCTACAGGGTGTGGGAAACCACCAAGAAGTAAGAACTTTATGACCTGTTTATGGACACCAGAGCTGATGGGTAATTGGAGTTTTTGAGGAAGTTAAGAGAAAGAAAAGTTGATAGTCCTGATTGTCAGACTGAAAAAGTTTCAATGACAGAGAAGTTGAAGCAGTAACTTCCCGTCTCGTTTTTCCCATCCCGAGCAGCTTTGTTTCTGACGTGGTGAATATTTACTACACCAGCGATGAGAGAGTGGAAGGGGACGAGGAAATCCAGGCCTTTGTTAAAGACGTCTGCAGCTTCGGCATGCAGGATTTTGATCACTGTGGTAGGTACACACCACACGGGCTTGTGTAAGCCTCCCTGTTTTTAAAGCCTCTAACTAAACAAAACACATCTATTAGAACTCCTAGCTTATTTTTTAATAGAGGGAACCGATTCACCTTAAAATTTCAATAATGGTGGATTTTCTGGAAGTGGTAGGCTTTATAAAATCCTGCTCAGAGGGATTTTTTCTCCTCTTTTGAAGCCACAGAAGATGACTGAAAGGGTCACAGTTTGAGCCTCGATTTTGTAACATCCTGTGTTTTACCATCGTTCACGCAAGAATCTTCTTCTCGCCGTTGCTTTCCAAACGGCTGAGTTTTGTAAGCCTTTAACGGCACTTTGTCAACTCTTTGTTTCTTTAATCTGTGAGCAGAGTTTCCAAAGTCGGTGAAATCCCGTGACGAGCTGATAGAGTACCTGAGCGTTGTGATATTCACTGCCTCAGCCCAGCATGCAGCAGTAAACTTTGGCCAGGTAAGCTTTAAAAAAAAAGAACTGGAAATGCTTTTTAAAGTTTGAATTTGTGACAAAAATATTATTCTTTGTTACAGATTCTTTGTTGCAGAAATGATAAGAACAACTTAGAAACGTTCGAATTTCTGATTCTAAGTTCAGGTTTTGTGCAACTTTTAAAATTTGCGTTCAGTATGACTGGTGTTCGTGGATCCCCAACGCGCCGTCCACCATGAGAAAACCCCCTCCGCAGGAAAAAGGCGTGGCGGACGTGACGATGATCATCGAGAGCCTCCCTGATCGCGGGCGCTCCAGCTGGCACCTGGGGGCCGTGTGGGCCCTCAGCCAGTACCAAGAGAACGAGGTATGTAGAGCACAAAGTCACCCGAATGCAAAGGTTTGAACCATTTGAACAGTTTAGAACCAAATGCTCCTGGAACCACTCACCCAAACATTTAAAGACATATTTAGAGTTTCCTTGCACTTGTATTTATATTTCATGTGCACATTATATTCTTTGCAGATGACACAGCCTTAGGTGCCCAAAGTGGGGCCTGCCGGCCAAAATTTGCAACATTTTTAATGTCCAAATTGCTAATAAAAGTGATATATTTGATCGATTTGTCTGAATTACAGTATGTACACACCGAAAAGAAGCTTCATGTTGATTTTTTCAATTCCATTTTCAATGTAGATGTCTTTAAAATGTTCATAAGTTGGTGTGAGTTGTCTAATGTGACAGGGACTTAAGGGGCTCCAGTGCCGATAGTTGACTTTATCTTTGAATAATATTAAGATTAAATAAAAATGAAATAAAAGTAACTAAAAGAGATACAGTATTTAGATTAGATTAGGTTTGAACATTTTATAAAACTACAAATACTCAGATTTTAATCATCTTATGAAATGTCCCATGAGCCTTTGCTGCCCGAGCATGTGTCAAACGTTCTCCAAGTGCACGAGCTAACAGAACAAACAACATATGCCACTGCAATGTTAATCTAGCTTAATCATAAAAATAAAAAGATTTTACTTAAGGCATATTTGCATTTTGTGTATTATATTATTGCATTTGGTTTAAAAATTTTTTCTGTCTACCCTCGACAGTTAATGCACTTTCTGCAGGTGTCAGAGCTCCCTCTGCCTACATTCAGTTGAAAACACAGCAGTCACAATCATTATTGGGGCAGAAAGGCACAAACACTGTTAAAAGCTGTATTGATTTTAAAATTGTATTTCTCACCTTTTAAGACCTTAAATGCTCCTAAATACATAAGACTTATTGATCGTTCCAAATAAAATCGACTGGATTTGTTTTTGCCTCTTGCACTTGAGCAGATAAAATATCAAAATGTGTTTTGCCTTTGAGTTCATATTTATTTGTTGCATTTATTAAAACGGAACTTTTTCATTTTCTTGTAAAGCATTTTGTAAGTTCTGTCCCTGCAGCTGTACCTGGGCATGTACCCCGATGAATACTTCATAGAGAAACCAGTCAAGGCGGCTATGGAGAAGTTCACCAAGCAGCTTGCAGAGATAAGCAGCTCCATTAAACGTAGGAACGAGGGGAAGAAGCTGCCGTACTACAACATGTCGCCTGATAAAATCCCTAACAGCGTCGCTGTTTGAGCGCAACTCACTTCATATATTAAAAAAATAAAATAAAAAAAGCATTGAAGTTGAGATTTTCAGGTTTGCTGTCAGAAAATTGTTACTGTGATTTTTTTTTTTTTACTTTGAGGCATTTTCCTTATTTGTGCTTTTCTATATTTTAGTAATTACCATGTGGTGTGCATGGTTCATTTTGTGGAGTTAAATAAGGATGCATTTTCTGTGACAAAGCTTAATGCTATGTTAATGGTTTTGCTTTTTTTTAGTGCGCAAAGCTGAAAATAAGCAAGTGTTGAAACCAATTTGTTAAAACATGGCATTTTTAAATGAAGCCACATACCGCTGTAGTCTAGAAGCAGCTTTCACGACAATATCTGTACAATTAAACAAAAGAATGGACTGAAAGAAATATTTATGTATAAATATATATAGCTATATATAATAAAAACAAGATGAACTAAAAAGAAATAAGACTCAACTGAATTTTTATTTGGTTCTTTAATTCTACATTTGTTCAAACATCGTAAATTAACTGAAAACATCAATATTTCCTTTAAAAACTTAATTGTTTTTTTTCTTTACCAAAGTCTTTACAGTTACCATCTCAAAGAAAATTCACAGACAAACGTGGAATGATATAAGACAGGGGAACAGTCATATGTTCAAGTCCAGTCAGTAGTAAACAAATGTAGTTTTTATGCAAGTTACACTATAATCCCAGTTGTGAACGAACTCGGCATTCTGGGTAAAGATAGAAAATAAGTTGAGCAGAAAATATTAAGTCTTTTGAAATCAGTGAAGAGTGACGATTTGTAAAGCTCAGTTTCCCAGACGTGGATTATGATGAAAAAGACCACAAACTTGTGACAAGAAGACCTCTCCTGGATTTTACTCTTTAACGTGGCCCGATTTTTTTTGTCTTTTTAATCAAACCTACATCAAAAATATCAACTTCAAGAAAGGAGCCAGCTCCTGCGAGTTGAAAGGTAAAAGGAAAAAAAACTTTCATCTCAGGAAAACTACATCTTAATTCCAAGTCATTTTTATTTCTTAAAAAAAATTTAAATCTAATGCTGTGGTTTCCACACATAGCAGCTTTTTTAAAACTAATTTAATTTGAACACAGTATTTAAAAAGCTTTCTAAATGACAAAGTGCAAAACAAGAGTGGAGGTCATTTTCACTTGTTTAAACCAAAAAAAAAAAAAAAAAAACAGTGTAAATTGCATGAAATTACAAATGAAAGGGGGTTTGAGTGGACAAAGTGTACCCTTTTCTGTTAAATATAAATACAAGACAAAAAGAAAGAATCAATTTGAATCCACAGGACACCCTGGTCATTAAACACCAGTATATTACTGCAGAGCAGAACAACAAAAGGGTAATTGCACTTTTTATCTGTCTAATTGCACTGAGCCTTCAGAGAGGTGAAGTTTCTGTGAAGCCTCTCAGTAGGTCTTAATCAAACTTGACACACAACAACTCCCTCGGCTCGTATTGTCTAAGACAAAGATATCAAACTCCAGATCTCAAATCACCACAGGGCATGAACATAAATACAGTATGCATTCTCACAAAAAAATAATAATAAAAAAATAAACTGAGCACTGCTTTAATTTATTGCTGCTGCAACCATTAGATGTATTGTTGGATCGTTATTGTTCGGACTGCAAACTGGCATCAATGTTTGTTAAAAAAAATCTGTGTTGCTGGATTGGCTGTAAAAGCCTTGCATTGCTGTGTTCCGACAAAAACAAAAAGCATTTTCATGAGTCAAAGCCCAGAAATGCGTCACCTGGAGAAATCCTGCTCAGCTCAGACTGCAGTGTCTGCTCCACACCAGCAGGTGGCGACCAAGTCAGCTCATATGAATAAAATATACATCTAAATTCTGTTGAGGAAAAATGTATGGATATTCCTTGCTGTCTTTAAAAAAATGGGATTAAATGTTGATAAATAATAATAATAATAATAATAAAAAAGTTAAACTGATTTAATTGTCTTGAACGAGCCACGAGGCGAGATGCGGAGACATAAATCAAGAGAGCAGCAACACTGGCTGTTTTGTGCTGAAATTACAAATACAGACGTCATAGACCATGTGAGAAAGTCTGGAAAAAACTGTGACAACAGTGAATCTGTTCCCTTCACTTTATGAAAAGTTTTATGTTGCAGTTCAAAAATGCGCTTTCTCATTTTATGCTTATTTGTGGAGATACATGGTGGTGGTGCTGGGGACAGAATCTAAATATGCAAAGTCTGACCTGCAGACCAACAAAAAATTAAAAGCTGCAGTTAGAAATCAGGTTTTCATTTTAATAAATGCTTGTAGGTTTTAACTAATCATCTGCACAGCGGGAGCAACAAAACAAACTGAAACCACTGAGCTGTGGATGTCTCCAGGTGTATAATGGAACGTCTCATCACTAAGCAAACAAATCAGCACACTAAAAACTGCACATGGAATATTACACTGTAAATACTGTCATTCACAAGACAGGAAACAAACAAACAAAAAGCATAATGCAATTAAGTGCCCAAAGGCTCGCACTACTTTCAAGACATGGAAATAAGTCTTGCAGTTTCTTGTTGCTAGTAAAAAAAATATTTTTTTTCCATCATTTTATTCGTTTTCAATCATTTTTTAAAAAAGATTACATTCTCGAAGCCTTCAGAGAGTTTGTGTTGGTGAAAAGGAGTCATGTGGCAGATGATACCAACTCAACTTTTCTGTTTCCTTCAGCAGGTTTTCCATTTTAAAACCCAAATCCCTTTTTTATGCCATCCTGGGGGGAGGGGTCATCTGTAAAAGTAGTAGTATTCCAAGTAAAAGGTTGCTTGTGCTTTCCCCACTGAACAACCGGCAAGATTTAGGTCATTCTAAAAAAAAAAAAGAAAAGAAGTTGAGGAAGGGAGTGGATTTGTTGGCAGGGTTGACAAAAACCAAAAAGTGCTTCAATGCACGTCCAAAGACCCTGTTGGACTCGGAGCGGCGGGGGGAGATGGCAGTATCTGGAATGTTCCAGAAATTCGATGTGTGACGCTACATTGATCCAGCTTAGCCCACGACTCACGAGAAAAAAATAAAATCGAAACAAACCCACAAGCAAAAAACAAAAATAAAATCCATGTAGAACTTGTGAGCTTTTTGTGAGTTTGTGTCTTCGTCCTGCTCATCTGAAGGTGTACACATCCGAGTGCACGCACGTATGCCCCAGACCCCCCTACTTCCAGTTCGAAACGTCAATCCAAACAGTTCGGTATCTGGGAAAGAAACGGTGAGAGCAAAAGGAAGAAGGTGTGGCAGGTGGACAGAAGGCGGTGGAGTCACAGGAGGGCAGAAGATCACTCTGGGATGACAAGAACTCCCACGACTGCTCCCCTTCACCGTTGGCCCGGTGGCGTGCACGTGAGCGGGAACGAGCGATGAAATGAACTTGCCGTCAGACATGGAGCACCTCCATACCGTATTCCTCTGTCTCTGTGTACTGGGAGGAGTTTGTGTCTGACTGGGTGGGGACCAGCACCTCCTTGTTCTCCAGACTCGGCTCCAGGAGGGGCGGCTTCTCCGGCGCCAGCTTTTTACACGTGTCCGGCCGGTTCTGCACATATATGACGCGGTTGTAAGCCTTGAGTCTCTTCCATAGATGGATGTAGACTTTGCACTGGACGTACATAAAAACCAGTCCGCCTGTAAAGCCGATGGCCACCACCACCAGCTTGGTCCAGAAGGGCCATTCGAGGATTCCTGAGGGACAGAGAGGAGAGAGAAAAAGAGAAAACGTGTGCACGAGTCAGCAAAAACAAAATAATACAAGAATAAATTAAAGTAAAATGCTTGGAAACGTCATTAAATCTGAAGGTAAAAGTGACAAAATGAAGGAACACAGAGAAAAGGACAGTTTGATAAACTATAAACCAGTGTGTGGCGTGTGAACCTACGACAAAGATTCATAAAAAACATTGTGTGGAGGAACTAAAGTGCTGTATTCTAATGCATTTTTAAAAATCTGGCTTTTAGAAACCTTTTTATTTGATTTAAAATTTAGAACTGAATTTAGAAAATGCACAATTAGATAAATGTATTAAATAAAATATCAACGTTTCTGTGATGTTAGTGCATCAGTTTTATTGACACTGTTGCTGGTTAATCAACACTAAAATCTGGCCTGACTGATCCCTGAAAATACATAAGTGAATTAAAAAAAGAGTTTCAGTAAACTATTTCATTAGGTGATAAAATTGTTCAATAGGTTTGATGTATAATAAAGTATCAATGACACAGTTGGTGCCTCTATTCTCAGTGTGGTATTTAAACTACCTTTTACAAACTCATGACAGAGCTCATAAAAAAAGCAACCACGTTTTGAAATAATTCCCTTTCTAGTGGGCGGGGCTAATGCTGATCTGCCTAGGCAGGGTTAACGGGTAAAATACTGTAAACTGATGATGCACTGAAGCAAAAAACTATCAAGTAATAAAAATAATTATATATGGTTCAGGTGAATTGAGTTAAACTTGGCACACAAAATAAGGAAATTTGTGTTAGATTATTTCTTAGTTGTAACGATGCTTCTTGGAAAGAAATCTTGTGATTGGCTTCACCTGGGGGTACCAGAATCTCAAAACAAGTGTCAATAACAGCAGCAAAATAAGCAGTTTGGCAGAGAAGATTGTGCGTGTAATCCACATTCTCAGCTCTACTACTCATCCCACAAATGCATGTTCCTTACAAATGTGGCACCATTTAATAGGGAAATTAACAGGCTTTAGCACAGGATTTATTGCCAAGAAGCATTGTTACAACAAAAAAATAATCTACCAAACTCTAATTTCCTTACTTTGTGCCAACTTAGTAAATACTTAAAAAGAATTTTATTTTATAGAATGTTGCAGTTTTGGACTTCCATACCCTATATATGTAGTGCATTGTGTGCAGTACATCTGCAGCATTAATGACTTCAAAGTGTTCATCCATAAAAAACAAATTCTGTTGAACCCTTTAGCTTTTACAAATCATCCACCTTTTAGAGCTGACCATTACTGGACATGTTTATCTACTGCATCCAAAGAAAAGTCAAAATCTCTGAAACTCAACACGTGTCTGACATCAATTATGGTATTTCCTAAAACATTTGACTGAAATTAAGTCATGAATATTTTACATTGATGCCACCTCTTTAATGTATAGTATTGTTAAGCATTAGAATATTTCCTAATTAATAAAAAAAATGTGGATTTAGCTTTGTCTCTGCTTATTTTGTTCTTTCATCTCTGTTCAGTGACGCCACAATATATCTTCAACATTTCAAACTAGAAAAAAAAAGGCTACATAAATAGTAAAAACATTAAAAAAAAAAACTAAATGAGAATACACATACAGCCAGATTTACACAATGGTTAGGGTAAAACTTGCTTCTGTTCCACTACATATTCTGCTTCCAGGGCTGGTTACAGATTTTCTGCCAACTGTTCTCTTTTTTTAAAGCTTCTACATGTCTCCTCAAGGG